GGTTCCCGAGGCACTTTCTTAAAACCCACCTATTACTTTATCTATAAATAAAGCAGAAGCAGGAAACTGGAAGAGACAGAGGGAAGGGAGGGAGGGAAGGGAGGGAAGGAAGGAAGGAAGGAAGGGAGGGAGGGAGGAAGGAAGCTTTTCGGAGTCATTTGTTGACAGAAGTACGCCAATGTCCAAGCCTTTGCCCTCTGTACTAGTAGCCGGGCTCTGCCCAGCTGAGCTCCACTTCCCACCACACTTCACCAGCCCAGCCAAATGACATTAGTGTAAAGCCAAGCCCAGAACATCCCTGTGTGCTGACTGTCCGGAGGAAATTCTAGAGCATGTACTGTGGATGGTGGGAGAGCCTGAACTTGGGAAAGGGCTTGTATGGTGCAGATGTGAAGTGGACTTGCTTTGAGCACTTACATGGTGTCCAGTCTCATACCTCCCCATCACTTGAATTCCCTCTTTTTGGCTCCGTTTGGTCACAGGAAGCAGCAATCACAGCCTAGGGGATTTTTATTTCTTTATTTTTTTTAATAAACTTTATTCTATATTACAAATAGGTTTTTTTTCTTTTTTTTTTTTTGTTCTGGACTGCAAAATAGGAATGCCTTATATTTACATACACAGGTATACAATTAATTATAACAAAGGTACAGAAGCTTTGCCTTTACCAAGTAACAACGGGATTCCAATTTAAATAGTATAGATTTTATTTATTTTTTAACTAGGATCAATTCAAAAGAAAATCAAACCAACAACAACAACAACCTAAGAAAAAGGATCCCAACCTCCTTTCTAATGCTGTCTTGACATCTCTTTGAGGCTGTTAGTAACACTGTAGTGAAAGGATGTGTCTTTACATTGATTTTTGTATTTAAGGTGGAACCTTTAGCAAAACAGAGAATGAGACTTCTGGGCTCATGTGTATGTCCAAGACACAGGGTCAGACACTAGGAAGGGTCTGTCTTGTGACATTAAATAATCCAGTTGCCTCTCATCTTGATTCCTTGGGGAAAACAATGGGAGCATTTAGCTAGCACCTAATCTCTCTGCTTCCTTACCCCACTCTGGGATGGAAAGTGGGTTTTCTCCAGGGACTGGAGAAAGAGCAGCCCAGAATTTTTAAAAAACACCAAGTTTCTCTTAATATACTTCAGAAAGGACTGCAAGCTTGGACACGTGCCTTGATTTCTCCAACTGGCTCTTGTGCCTCAGTCTATCTGAAAGTAAACAGTAAACTCTCCTACTGCGAAAGGCTCCCTTCAGAGTCAAGTAGCCACACCAACTCACACTATTAAGAGAAGGGAATGCTGAAAGAGACTAAATGTCCTGGTTTTTTTCCCTGTTTTCCACACCCAGGTTTGCTTTACTGAGCTTCCCTTCACACTGCTCTCTGCTGCGAGTATCTTTGAGGTGATCTGCTTCCAAGCAGAAAGAAATTTTCTTGAGGTAAACTCTCCGTTTTTAGAACAGAAGATTAACACAAAGAGAAGCGCCAATGAACAAACAACAACGACGACAACAACAGAAATCACACACATGACAGTTCGATTAGACTAAGCAGCTTTATATCCTTGCTAGGGTTTTTTTTTGGTGGTTTTATTTTTTCCAAGTGTAAATTTTTTTTTTTTTGACATCTTTCTATAAATTAATTTGTTGCTGTAAGCCTTGGGTGTTTCTCTAACAATGTAATGAACTGAGCCATCCCAAATAAAACACGGTTGACGAGCTCCGTTTTCAAAGCATTCTCTGCAAAACTGTTATCCCCTGCAAGACAACACAGCCTTTTTTTTGTTTTGTTTTTTTTTGTTTGTTTTTTTTTTTTTTTTTTTTTTTTTTTTTGTAAGAAGCAGCATTGCACAGCGGCAGAGGTGAGGGAAAACTGCAGGACTCCACAGACCGAATGATAACTCTGAAATGGGAACAGCACTGAGTGCAAAGCAGAAAAACTCGGGCTGTGAATGGCCAGGAGGCTGAGGCGCACACCATGACATTTCACTTGCTTCATCAGTTGCCTGCTCCATACCAAGTTTGCCTGGCAAGAGCTAGGACAGACCAACACCTCCACTTGCTCTGGAGAACAACTATTTTACTACTCATCGGATGCACTAAGTCATCCCAGCATCACTGAGGCTATGCCAATACTTCTCTACCCAACAACTGTCATGGTGAGGGATGTCAACAGAGAAACACAGTCTACTATGAACCTGTAAATGAACACAGCTCCCTAGTTTGGAGAAAGAGATCCACTCCTGGGCTCCCCCGGTCATCCCAGGAGAGCAGGTTATCAGAGGCTCAGAGAAGTTTAAACAACACCACGGATTCGAGAGCTGGATTTTTATACTGATTTCCTCATTCAAGAGTGGGGGATATGCCAACTGGGTTCCTGGATGCAATTTTTGGTGAGATCCCCAAACCCGACACAAACCTGGTGGGACCACAATGCACATTTCTGTACAGTGCCCTCTGTCGGGGTTCTCTAGCTAAATGCTGAACCAGGAAGTAGAGAGGGACAAAACCCACCTTGTTGGGACTGACAGGGTTCTGTCCAAGTGCTCAGCTGGTCACGGCATCTTCCCACATCGGCAAAGGCCACCCTAGAAAGCATCAGAATTCTATGGATGAACAAAGCTCTTTCTTACACACTAGAGCTTTCCTCGGGAATTTTCAAGGCAGGACCAGTTTTCTTCCTCTCTCTCAGTTCTTTTACAGTGCCAAGCTACCTACAGTGACAATGTTCCACACTATCAGATCAATCTGCTTCAAGAGTAATTCTTCTACAGGCTGCTGGTAAGGCTGAAGCATGACTTGTTTTATTGATGCTCGGTGATGGGCGAGAGTAGTGCTGGTCATTTCCAGCAACACAGACTTTTCTTTTTGGTGTGAGATGGTCCTTGGACATAAGAGTCCTTTGTGGAGACACAAATGTATGCCCTGCTAAGAGCAGCCCTGGGACTCAGTCCTTTCAGGTTTCCAAACTTCCTTTGGAAGAGTCTTCCACATAATAGTGTCTCTTTCCAAAGCACTTCACTAAAGCCTTGGGGAAGGACAGATAGATGTTTTGTGGTTTGGCCTACTTTAAAAGAAATTCCTCTTAACTCTTTTGTGGTTGGGTTGTTACATCATAGGAATCCTGGATTTTAGGAAATGTGGAAGGGATATGTAGTCTTTGTGTTGGCTGACTCCATGGTGAGACTGGCCACTGGACTCTTAAAACTCTATTTATCTGTTTTCAATTGCATTATTAAAAATAATGACGACAATTATGTGATTTACTTGGTCTCTCTCCCTTCACGGCAAACACCTTCCTGTGGGCTAATGCACACGATCTGGAAACATTCATAATCGCTTTTCAATTAAAACAAATGCCAACCAAAATTCCGCTGGTAAATTTTCTTCATGTCATTGATTGTTTATGGTCCCCAGTGTCAAAGGGGTGTGGTAAGACAACTGCAGTGGTGAAACTACAGTTGAGAAAGTTATCAAAGCCCTCTTACCTAACAGAGTGAGGCTGGTGTGTGCTGGATTGGACCAAACCTTCAGATAAGTTCAGAGCAGAATGAATAGTGGGAAGAGAAGGACTGAGGCATGTTGGGAGAGGAAGATGCCCTTGGGCGGATGTATTTCTCCTTTTTGGTAGTTCTCTCATGCTGTGTGTTCAAATTATTTACATAATTATTTACAGAATCATCTCGGTTGGAAAAGACCTTGAAGATCATCCAGTCCAACCATTGACCTAACACTGACAGTTCCCAACTACACCAGATCCCTCAGCGCTCTGTCGAATGATCACAATCTCTAGCACCATCGTCCAGAAAACACACAGCTTTTCCCACAACAGTGTTTACTGGAAGGCTCAGTCTGCAAAAGCACATGACATGATGGATATGTCTCAGCTCGGTGTGTCACTGTTGGGTGGGTACACTCACAGGGAGGACGAGATGTGTTTGCAGAGGGTCTGTTCACCTTTTGTTTCTCTAACCCAGATGCGAAGTCCCGGACCAAACTCTGCAGTGAGAAAATAATCATAGCTCTCTCAGTAGGACCACAGAGAGTCTTCATGAGTCCCCCTTCCCCACTGACGATGTTAGCATTCATTGTCATGATTGCAGTGTTTGAGAAATACCCATAGAGATCAGCCAATCATCTGGCCTATTCTGGATATTAGGAGCTTGTCCATTGATTTCTAGGGACTTTGGCTCCAGCTGTGTCCATGTGGCTTGAAAAACAGTGTGGCATACTGTCTATTGGACATTTTTAGTCAAGGGTGGAAAGAGAGGTGGGGGGGAAACAAATCAAAGGAAGAGGAAAATAACTCATCCATGTTGTAGTAGGGCTCATTCTTCTGCTTGTGTCTTTGTTTTCAGTTGTATTTTACATGCATTTAAAAAATAGTTAGCTCAATAGGTGAGGCTGGGAAGAAAGATGCCAAGACCTCTCATAGACTGGGGGATGCTGGGACAGTGACTGGAAATGGGGAGGGCACTGAAGGGGACAGGGGAGGAAGCCCACGCATTTACATCACGATTCTGGCACATTTTCCAAACGAAAACCTAAACCAGATCAAACACCAGGTAAAGAAAAACAAGAAGAAAAACAAGGAGGAGATGAAAGATAAGCAAATTACAGATTTTCTTTCAAATCCCGGGGATGGGAGAAAGAAGAGGGTGGAGAAAAAACGGAAATGCCTAAATGGGAACATGGGAAGGGTAAGACACCAATCTCGTGGCACTTCCCATTTCCCTTAAGTGTTTCATTCTCAGTGTCTCTGAGGTGTTCAAGTTTTTCTTGAAAATATATATATTTATATTACAGATGAAAAATGCCGTACCAACAAGAAGAAATAAAATAATAACAATGGTAAACAACCATAATGAAACAAAAACACAGACCTGAAAACATCAGAAAGAAACAGGGTGAGTCTCAGATTTCCCCTGTGGTGTTCGTCTGACTTCAGTAACAGTGCAGGATTACACCAGTTCACTTTGATATTTTTTTTAAAAAAAAAAAACAAAAACAAACAAACCACCAGCTTCTTCTTCCTTTCATGTGCGTGCGCATGTCCAGGCAGTATAGCCCATCACTCATAACCACTTCCCTCCAAGCCAGCTATTTGTCCTTAGACTCCTACCATCCAGCTGTGAGTACAAGGCATGACAATAGGGTCCATATTTTTTCTTTTGTGGCACTTTGTTTGTCAAAACCTTTGGTTTCTTCCTTTTTTTTTTTTTTTTTTTTAATTTTCCTTTTTTATGTACTTATAAAAAATATTGTGTATGTGTTGTTGTTGTAATTTTCTTACCACTGGCTCTGGTGGGACTTCCACCCCACTTTCACAGCCATAATCAATGGATCTGGAACATGCGCCGACATTACTAAATGGATCAACAAAACCATGGCAGAACCAACCAAACCCAAATCACCCCCAATGCGCAGGCCTCTTAAAAATGCTGAGATGTCCATAAGGTGCATGATGAGTCCATCAGCTCAGCAATCAAACAGAAAGCAAGCAAAATCAAAAGGAAATAACACACACGCGCACACAGATATACACACACACGCACGCACGCACAAAATAATAATAATTATAATCAAGAGAGAAATGTCTGGGGTTTTAAAACCAAGGCGTGTCCCTAAGTTTGCTGTTTCAATATGAATCTTGTGGTATTCTCCCCACAGACACATCCAGTTTTGGACTGCTGTTATTTAAATGGTGTTAGAAAGGCTTGCCTACGTGTGTATCTCCTTGGCTGAATGAAACCCGCTTGCTGACTAACTCCTGTTGGCACCACATCCCCCGTTAGATGCACTCACCATCCATCACTCTGAAGAGGTCCTGGTTTGTTAGCAAGAGGCATGAATAAAAGCAAATGCACTCATTCTGTAATCAATTTACACACCCTGTCTTTACCCCTTCCTCCCTCCAGGTGCAAAGTAGGTGCTCCAGGTTGCAGCGCTGAGGATGGTGTGAGATGAATGTGGGCTGATTCACCGTGGCATCAAGCCACTCCTCCATCTGCTAGTAAGCTCTGCTCATTTCTGGTGAGATGAATCCAGACACAGCTCTTGCCTCCATGGCGTACAAGACCCTGAGGGTCTCCCACTACGCTGAACCATGGTGTTACCCGGGCTGGCGGCTGTATGAACAGAATAGCCAAACGCAGAAGAGACACGGGAGCTCGCTCCTCTTCAGTTGGCCATGAAACAGGTTGAGATGTTGTTTTGGAGGAGCTGAGCGGAGGATAGGACAGGGTAATCACTCATAATTGTCCTGTTGGGACAGTGATCTCTGAAGGGATAGGAAGTGCAAAGAGAGAGCAAATCCTTCCCAGACAGCAACTGTGCCTTCAGCATGGCCTGTTGGTTCCAGAAATGGAGAAGAGGAAAGGCCAGGAGCTGGCACCAAAAGGCAGATGAGTTTACAGTGGTTCAGAGACCTTCAGAAGACATGCAGTTCGGCTGGGGGTATCTAGGTAGAAGAATATTTTGCAGTGTTTCATTTGGATTTCCTCCAAGATTTCCTTCCAAAACATGTGCTGACAATTCCTCTTAGGAGTGGCTTTGAAGGAAGGTTTTACCATCAGTCCTATGCACCACCTTGCTTCATGGCAAGCCCTTCAATATCCTTCATAACCTATGATGAAACAATAGCTTTGTTCCAGTTGAGGAAACAACATGGAAACAACTAACAGCTCTGAAAAAAAAAAAAAAACAAAACAACAAACCCTCTGGTTGTTTTTTTGAGGCCGAGCTCCTTGCCTGGAACAAAATGAGACTTTGTGGCTCTTGCTTTCCAGGCTGAGGTGGGAACGAGGGAGCTGCTGTGCTGTCCATTGCCAGAAGGAACAGAACCACCACCGTGATGCCACTGAGCAGAGAGAGTGTTTTTGCCGCAGTGCTACAACCAACAGGAAACAATGGGAAAGACGGAGGGGGACACAGGTCTCTTTGAAAAATAAGAATAACCATATGAAACACATGGGCAGGGGAGTGTTGGTCTCATCCTCCCCTCTTGACCCTTCCCCTGCCCCAAGAGAGCAGCTACACCGCCGTTTGCCCAGGCAGATAAGAGCCACAATGGTCTCACTCTGGATGGAGCTGTGGCATTTTTGGGGGAGCCTTGGGGTTCCTCTCCCAGTGGGTCACTATCAAGAGATAGAGTTGCAATGGCTCTGCAGGAGAGGATCTCGATTTGCTCCTGCCCTCCAGGATCCCTGCAAGGCAGGCTGCCTTCCCTTTGGGGAGACTTTTAGTAATACTGAGTTCATTTTCATGTCCACTCCAGAGGCTCTACAGCCCTTGGAGGGCAGTTAAAGCAGCATGACAGAAGTTACCTCCCAATTTCCCATCTGCAGAGTGATGATGTGATGTGGGGGGAGGGTTTGTGGGGTTTGTTTTGTGTGTAATAGTTTTTCTCTAGGGCAAAGGCAGAGGGGAAGCTGTGAAAAGGAGAGCTCCACCTGAAAGTCTTGATGTCCCCAGAGCCAAGATTCCTCTGCAGTCTTTTCTTTTAACCCCTGGGGCTTTGTCATTTTGTCCATAGACTTTGAAAGAGAAGGGAGAGGGGGAGAGAGAGAGAGAGGGAGAGAGAGATTGAGAGAGAGAGAGAGAGAGGAGCGCTGTTCAGGTGACTCTGCTTACAGCCGATCAAAACTTGCACTTGGTAAAGATGATGATCTTGAGTGAGGCACGACTTGGTTTATCCCTCCCAGGGTGTCCCTGGCAGGACAGTTCTCAGCTGTCTATGCTCATGAGGGTTATGACTTGTTCAAGTTTGTAGGCAAGTTTCTGTTTCCCAGCCTGGTCATCTTGATCAAGGGCTCCCAGAATCTGGAAAAGGAGAGAGAAAGAAGGGATAGGGATTTTATTTTTTTGGTTTTGCCCCAAAAGACTGTGTCCAGCATCTTATAGCAGCAGATGAGGGTTAACTTTCTCTACTGTAGGTCCCAGGTTTAGCTTAATTCATGCAGAGCAGGTCAGTCAGCCAGCAGGGAACTAGGCAGGCAGTTTGGGGTTGGCGTGACTAAATGCAGGACACTAGATTGCAACCAATCAGATAGATTCTTGGAAATCAGTTATTTAGTAGCTTTATTCATTACCTTGCCATGCCATTTGAGATGTCCTAAAGGGTCTCACCTGGTTTTCAACACACAGAACCATGCTGGTCATCTTTAAGTCCTGTGTCGTGCTTGTTGGACCATTCTTGGGTGCTTTAGGGTGTCTGTAATGGCGCTGGGCACACATGCTTAAACGACTTTTGGCCACATGTGATGCAGAGCTCACATAGGGCTCCTCTGTAGCAAGCTAACATCTGACTATCAACTAGTGAAACCCAGCTAGATCGGATTGATCCATAAGAGGAGACAAAAGTAACAGGGATCTGGATGGAAGAGTACTTGGGAGACCAATAATCCCAGACTTTCCCTTTCCAGAGCCCAGGCCTTGCTTTTCATTCCTTAAATCCATCATGCCCCTAGCCAAGATGAAGATAGTTATCTGTGACACTTGCTGGGCCCTGGGAATGGGTGGGCTGTCCCATGGTCCTGCAACTGCTTTTCTCCATCCAAGGCTCTTACCTCCTCACTGTACTTGCCAACGTAGGAGTAAATCTCTGAGAGCGCACTCATAGTGTTGAACTCGTTCATATGCATGCGAGACTGCTCAGCCAAGTATGCGTTCATGTCCTGGTCACTGATTGCTGGCATTTTGGCAATGTCTGAATAGTACCTGAAAGAGATAAATATAGATGTTTCTTGAGAGGAGAGAGCACAGAGTCAAGAGATGAAAGCCACCAACGATAAGGAGAAAGAACATACGTAGCACATTCAGGGTCTTCTGGTGCATCAATGATATACCTGGTATATACCTGATATATTTTAATAGTTTGTATTTGTTCAATGTTTAATAGTTTATAATGCCCTATGGTTTGTGGCGACAGGCTTCAACACTCCCATCCCCAGTCTGACTGGGGAAAACCTGATTTCTTTAGGAGTCAACGTTACTCCTCTTGAGCTCAAGAGGACTGGGGCTTTATCCATAGGATATGGACCCTGCAGAACCACTGCCCACAAGGCTTCATCATCAGAGCAATGTCTCTTTAAGGAAGTTGCTATTTTCAATGTCCTTCGTCCCCTGGGTAAGGCAGGTCTTGGAGGACAAGGTTTGCGGAAGGTAATCAGTCACTGTCACTCGCAGCTGTGCTCTGCTGTCAACTGGTTAATTAGACGCCATCATTTACATTTTTAATTTCTGCAATTTGACATTTTGTGCACAAGGAAAAAAAAAAAAAAAGAAAGAAAAAAAGCCCATAGCTGCAGCAATCCACAGTTTTATAATTAGGAGGCAGAGGGGACGGGGAACCAAAAGAGCTGACAGGTGTCCTGTAAACAGCATTGAGACACCTGCTGAGATGGAGGCTGTTTTCTACTGCAGAGAAATTGGACACTGAAGTGCTGTATGATAAGGATCCTTCAGTCAGACAAGTGGGAAAATACTCCCCATGACAGAGCAGGACAAGCAGCTGCTGAAGTCCCCTACGAAAGACAGCACGGTGCAAGAGCAGTGAGAGGAAACCCCTCCACACCAGAAGGCTCCAGATTTGCTCAGTCTGGGTTTGTGCCCGGCAGTCCCATCCTGATTTAATTGCAATGGGTTGGTCTCAGTTGCTATCCTGGTTTTGCGGAGTGGGGTTGATGTAACTCTTTGAAGGGAAAGACATAGGAGGCAGAGGTCCTTCTTCCAGCTCTGTGTGTAGTCTTCTAGCCTGACTGCTTCCAAAGCTAGACCCTGGCTTATCATAAACACTCATGCAAACCTCATTAACTTTACTGCAACATCCAGTATGCACAACGACATGGAGTCCTTATCATCTTGTACTGTGGGCTCAGGATCAGCCAAATATCCTAGTCTAACTCAGTCCAATGTTCTAAATATTGCCCACTCCCAGTACTCCACTGACGAGTGGTCTGAGCTTGATTTTGCTTTACACTCTGCCTAACCCCAATGGGACCTTAAGAGTCATCTATGAACAAGTAAAGCAGGCACGTAGAAATCCTGTGAGGACCTGTCCTGCAGAATTACCTCCAAGATAAGATGGTGAGCAGGATGAATAAATATTTCTAGACCTTTGCCACTCCCAGAAAAAACTCTAAAAGGTCTCAGCAGCAGCAGCTGGACAAAAATCAGACTTGTGCTGCACGGACTTCTGACAAGAGAAAGTGTCAGGAACTGGTGGCACCATGACAGTGCTATTGCAGGCTCGCCAGAGCACACTGCTGACCAGCAGTCCTATGGCCAAAAAGCAAGGTCTGCCAAATAAAACTCCGTCCGTGTGCAACCAGCACAGTTCATAGACTTGTGAAGAAAAACAGCCTGCAATGCAGTGAAATGCATTGATTTATGGTGCATAAGACGAGCCCATGGAGAAGAGCCCAGCTCCTCATGAATATTGCATAGGCACCCTCCTGCTGGGTGAAATGAAAAGTGAAGGGGATTACATCACAGCAAAAATAAATGAGGCCGGTGGAGGAAAGCAGAGGTACTGTATTGTATTTGCAAGTCTGGTTCTAACAACCAGTTGAAATGCTCCTTTTCCTCTCCGGTTCAGCTAGACATCACATGGTGGCAGGATAGTGGGTGTAGGGATAGAGTGCTTCCAAAAAGTGAAACACCGACACATGTATCGTCTGCTTCTCCAAGTTTGTCCTGTCTCCCTTTCACCTGCCAGCAGCTTTCTCCCAAGTCTGTGACTCACAAGGGTCTGAAAGCTCCCCAGTCCCTTTCCAGACTTGCAGAGATATTTTCCCAGCAGCTTAACACTCCCATGACTCATCTGAACAAGGAAAAGCAGCACGTAGTGCTCCTTGAAATGAAGTATGGGATGCAAAAAAACGAGTTTCAGGGCTTGGAGGCCTCTCCAGCCATGACAGACTCCCAAGCTGTGATCTTAGTGTTCTTGGGTCATGGACCCACCACCATGTCCTGCTCTCCCCCAGACTCAGCTCCCTGGCCATCACACACCTGAACAGTCGTTTCCCATTAAGACTATAAACCAAGATATTGTGGAAGTATGTTTTATGGGAAAAATAAAAGAAAAAGAAGGAAAAAAAACCCACAAAAAACAAACCCATGTACCAATAATCAAACCTAGCTGCTAGTACACGGAGAAGACATATAATGTTCTTCCATCAGAACTCTGCCGTGGCCGAATGACTTGTTTATACAGAAGTGTTTCTAATGAAGCCATCATTGCACTATCTAAAGAAAGGATGAATGTGTATATTAAAGCATCCTAGCAGGGAGATGACAACATCCCTGCTGAGTCTTTATTTACCTTCTATCTGAGCCCAGATCCTCAGAGGTACTTAGGGCCTCTCTGTCATTTGCATACCCCTAATGTCTTCAAACCCACTGTGATGCTGTCACCAAACCCCAGAGGTCCTCACATTTTCACTGCTGGCATTTGGAGGCTGCCTGCGTGCTGCTTCCCTTTGCCACGGCAGTCGACAGCTCTCACTTACACCATAGCTGAACTGTGAGGCAACGCAGAGGGGAGCGAGATGCTCTTTCACTGTGCTGCTCCCGTGAGCACCCTTAAGCTGAGGGCCACCAGACCTCCCCTAAGACATGGAGAGATCACTGACTCACACTTCCACAGCCCCAGAGGCCAGCAGGAGGTTGGGAAGACAAGAACAAGCCAGATTCCCTCTGAATGAGACAGAAAGGTAGCAAAGCAGCAAATCTAGCTTAGCCTGTCTCCAAAGGCTCAAGACAGTGAGTCCAAAGTGGAAAATGGTGACTACTTCATCAGATGTGCACTACTTGCTGGCCTGGTGCTGTAGACTTGCTACCTCCTCTGTACTCCCAGTTGTTTCTAGAAGATCCATAAATGCATATCTATGCCTTACGTGCTTGAGTTTCCCCTGAATCACAGGAGGAGCCCGAGTTCTTACCTCAAGGCTGTTCATTCTCTGATGTGTCAGAAAATGTGTTCATTAGACTTCAGAAGCAATAAAACCCCGGAGAAATTTGGGTAAATCCGTCACTCAGGCACATCAGCAACTCAGATGCAGGATGTGAGGATTACTATTAGACCATAGGAGGTGATTTCATAGGTATCATTAGCACAGCAACTCACCCCAGCGTGGCTTGAACAGGAGACCCCATGAGACCATCCACTGCCACTGTTGCATGGCGAAGGGTTAGGAATGCACCAGTATATAGTAGTGTTCCCTCTGACTCTCAAAAATAATTGTTCCTTTCACATCCTTCTCTTTCCCTGGGTTGTCTTTATTTTGTTTTGCTTGTTTTGTTTTGTTTTTCTAAGGAAAGCAATACAACGCTGACCTGGGAATACAACTTGCTCTCTGTTTAGTCAGGGGTAAATGTTCTTGCCTTCGGTACCAACCAGGAAAGTCTCCCTCGTGGAGCTGTTTCACAAGAATTACTGTGCCTGCTGCCACTCAGTAACTCATTAACTTATCAAAAGAGAAGGAAAAAAAAAAAAAATCTGTGTTGCCAGTGCTTCCTCTTCAGTGAAATTTTCCAGCACCGCGGCCGCAGTTTAGGCAGCTTAGCATGGAGCTAATTGTCTTCCAAAAGATCTTTTTGTCATGGCTGTTGTTGTGCCGTCTCTGGGTTGGGACTGCGCTCATTAATAATCATTTTAGCATATGAAAAGCTTGTAACGAATCCATGTGCTGCAGACGGCAGACGCAATTACAGCAATAACATAATTAGGGTTATGCAATAGCCGGCTGTATCCAGACCACTGAAGGAGGAAGAGATGCGTGGAAGGGATGTTGGGGGACCGCTACAGCAGAGAAGGGCTGAGGGAAAGCTTAGGCGCGACCTAGTGACCAGCTCTTTTATGGGATGAAGTGAAGCAATGCAAGGGCATGCTGCCAGTTCTTCTGTTGACACAGCATGGCAATTTTAGTTTCCTGTGAGGAATCTGAGCTGCAAAGTTTGCGTTTGTGCTGATTCAGCTACAGACAGCCATGAGGCTCTGTTAGCCCAGGCTGATATTATTTCAGAGAGAAGTTCAAAGCCAGGCTGTTGGACACTGATTGGACATTGTCGATAATAGCATGACAGCTAAGCAAAAGGTAGGGCTCCCCGAGTTAGCTGAAGACCTGTCAGCTCTTCCACAGATTTGCCTTGAAGAGCTTGAGGGAACAATTCTGTCTGTATATGCATCCCCTAGCTAGAGCAATGATTTCATTTTGCATGTGCACGGCTTTTCCTGATGCTTTTCATCTTGGAATAAATGGTAGAGAATGGGTGGGCAGCACTGAGTCAATGGCTTAAGAATGAATTGATGCACAGGTAGTTTTCTCTGGGAGAAGAAACTCTCCAAGCATCTCAGTGCAGAAGATGTGTGGGTCTGAGGCTGTGCTCTCTGCGGATAGACACATTTTCATCTTGCCTGCTGAAAACTGCACTATGTAGGAACAGCATGCTCCTGTGATGAGAAAACATCAGGAGGTTTTTGGAGACTAAAATTGAAGAAAGACAAGCCATCAGTCTTCAGATGCACCAAAAGCTGCAGCAGAGAGGCAGGGAATGGGCTGTACCCCCTGTCCCCGTGGGATGCAATGAGGTGGCGTGGGGTTTAATTACAGCCAGGGAGATTTTGACTGGCCATCAGGGAAAACACTCTGCTGGGAAGGACAGAGAAGCGCAGGGATGGATTGCCTGAGGAAAGCAGAGGCTCTGTCGTTGGAGGCCTTTAACAAAGGGGTAGACAAGCATTTGTCAGGAAGGCTTTAGACAGAGCTGATCCTGCCCTGAGGCAGGAGCTGGCTGGGTTGACCTCCTGAGGCCCCTTCCAGCACCGGTTATTATTATCTCTACTGACAACACCCCTCTAACGTGACCCTTGGTATGTTATATCTTGAGCCTTCTTTCTGGCAGAAAAAGGAGACACAGAAAACCACATTTTTAAAAGTAGAGCCAGGATTTGCACCTGTCATTTGATGCTCTCTTTCAAAGACCTTGGAGTCACCCCGGTGTTTCTTTAAAACCTCAATAACTTACAATGTTAGGGTGCACGCAGCTTATAATCTTTATTGTAATAAACTAGTCCAATTTGTCTTTCTTTCTAAAGCTTGCTGCAAAGTGGCCAACAGACATCACAAGCACTGCACTAGAGGAGACCATCTATTGACCAGAGAATCCTGAAACTACAGGCTGACAAGTTATGTAGGTTAGATCCTGAATGGGTACAGACTATCCATTTTGAGCACTCAAAACACACTCCCACAGCATTTTCCAACAAGCTTAAGACCTTGACATCTGAAGGCTAAACACCATGCAAAACATAATTGGTTCAGAAAAAGGAAATAGATAAATTCATGGACCCGGGACCTGGGTACCAACATTTAGGCCAGGTAGCATTTGTACACAGGTTAACATAATAAAGTGTAGATGTTATAACGCTGAATCCCATGGATCAGGTCACTTTAAAAGTCTTTTCATCCCATCACTTTAAAAGTCTTTTCATCCCAAACCTGGCAAATCTATTTTTAATAGTCTTCACTGGAAGACTCTCAAGGTGTTAAGAACACTTGCAATGTCTCCCTTGACTTTCAGCTTTTCTTTCAGGGGCTATTTTTAATGGACAATAAGCAGCCAAAAGGAGACCAAGTCCCTGCAGGGATGAGGAAAAAAAAAAAAAAAAAAGCAGCGGTTCCTCTCCTTGCAGCACTTCAGGTATTTTGGGCACCAGTGTGCAATGGAAAAACTCTTTGGCTTCTGCTTTTTTGTGCTCTGTCCCTTTTGAGTCTCCCACATCTCTGCCTCCATGCCAGGCTTTGGTAGGGAAACATCGTATTGATTGCGATGCAGGCAATTAAATGGTGTTAATGAAGTTCAAACAAGTGTTATCATAAGCTTGGCAGCATGGAGAGAAATGAAAGGTCAGCCACAGCCCTTTGTCATCTTTTCAGTGTGGTGATGAATGCTAATGAGACAGTCCCAATTAGAACAGGCTCCCCTTTGTATTGCTTGGGGATTGCATCAAATGCTCCCAAGTTCTCCAGATTTCTAGGCTCAAAGGGGACATTTGAAGTAAACTTGAAAAGATGCAGATCTGAAGCTGCTCTAATATAAATTCAGCAAAGCCTATGGAGTTTTACTAATAGAAGTCAGATGAGAATCTGGTCTACCGTTCCCATTCTTTTCCTCTTTTTTCAAAAGACTCATATAATGATAATTGAAAAGCCTCCACCTTGTTTTAGAACTGTAGTCTGACTCTTCATAGCTTCAACAAAAACCAAATAGCCTGTCCCCATTTTCTGAGTTAGTTCTCCTGTCTCAGTCAGGCCTCACCTTCCTCGGCAGGAAACCCAAGTTGTGGCTGCACCTAGATACTGTTTAGCCATGCGTTTCCACAGTGAAAGAGCCCTGGGCATGTAATTTGAATGCTGAAATTAATTTTCCCCAAAAGTCAGGATTTTTCAGTGGGATTGTTTCAACAGGCAGAGTCCACCTCTGCTTCCCGTAGCATTAAAAAGGGACTGTTGAAATCAAACTCCCAGTTGTTTACTATGTGGAGGTAGACCTTTGGTCAGGCCAGGATCTGTAGCTATTCCCTTCCCAACATACATTCACAATCTAAAGAGATGGAAAACTAATCTTGGAAGGATTGCAGGAGTGTACTTTTCACTCATGGCTGCTTCTTATGCCAAGTTCATTCCCTGATTTGAGGTTTGTGATTCCTAAAGGCACACTCCACACTGAGAAACCAGCAGTTGCAGAAGGATGGCCTGGAGTAACCCAGCTCAGCTACCCTTTCAACAGACCTTTTAAAAGTCAGGAGTCTGTCTTTACTCCAGAATGCCTTCAAGTTGGGTTACAATCTACCACTGCCTAATTGCCCTCTTAGAGTTTCTTCTTCATCAAAGAAGTTCATTCGATTTCAGGTTCTTCTGATTTACTCAACTGCTTCTTAAACTCCCCGACTGAAAATCTTTTTATCTTACAATTCGCTCTTTGAAGAAGTCTAGTGGTCTTGAAGGATGCCATCTCCAGCTGATGCTGACTATAGAAATAGCTCCAACCAGTACGGGAAGCCTTTGGATTTGGAATAACTGCCTCAAAGTACAGTTGCAGTATGGAGCAAAGGAATTCATTATCTCAAGGTAGAACTGAAATTATATTTTATTCATCCTTGATATGTTTTTTCTTTGATCTACCACAGCATCCAGGTGCCACTGCCTTGAGTCAGTGGAATAGACACACAAAAATACAAGCAGGGCAGAAGCTCTAACCATATTCCAAAACCCACAGCCTCCCCTTGGGCTTCAGTTCGAGTTGTCAGAGATCGGTGCAGATAACAACCCAGCACATGCTGGGCACAGAAATCCAGTGCTGTTTACTAGCAGCAGGAGGTGTTATGTACCTTGTTTGCAAACCCAGTTATTCGGGAAAACTTCCAGGGAAATGCAAAACCTATTGCTGAAGATCACTGGGCAACAGGATGTAGCTCCAAAAAGTTGTAAAGTGAAATCAATACTGCAAAACCAAAATGGAAACTGCAGCCTTCTGGTGTTGCATGAGGAAATACCCTGTTCTTCACCTATGTGCCTCAGCTGGTCTCTCAAATGTACCACCTCCAAAGCTGGAGACTAAAAGCACCACTGGAGTATGACACCTTTGGGTCACGGTTGGTGCAAACTTGATTTCTAAATGAATCTCTAACACCTCTTTCCCCCTCTACAGATCAATCCAGCAATCAACCTCAATACATACGAAGAAACTTGGACACAGCACCAGAAGTAGGTCATAATTAAGCAAGGTAGCTTGTAAGAGCCTTACAGGTTGCCTAGAAACGACATTTGCAGAAGTGTTTAACCACATCTAAAAATAATTGTCCAGACAAATCAGAGACTAATGGGAGCATTACTGTAAAAAATGTCACCTCGTGCCGACTAGGGGACAGAGCTCTTTGATCATCCGTGCTCTTCTTTCACAAAATGAGAGAAACCAGCCCCACCAAAGGAAAGTGGTTTACAGCACACTATGCCTACAGTAGCAGAGGTCTCTCATAACCTGCATGACATGGTATCAATTTTAGATAGTGCCTACGAAGTCATCCAGATAAATCATTGCTTAAAACCGCATGGCTTTGCACAGGAATGGACTGTAAGGTAAACCCATCTTTATATTTATAGAGGAGTAATCATTCTCCATCTGTGCAGTTCCCAAACCTGTCAATAACACCAAGCAAGCGTAGCGTATTGGAAAACAAAGCACAGATCAACTTCTGCAAGGCTTGCTCCAGAAGACAGGCTCCTACTGAATGGAGTGCAAGAGAGGCTATTTGCTTTGTCCTGTGGAAAATCGTAAAGAAACTGAAGCCCCTATATACTGCAGGAATAGTTGTCTTGGTTGTACTCCCTGTAGAGTAGTTTTGCCAGACACTGGCCTTCAGTGCAGTAGATTGATCAGTACAGATACAGGTCTTGAAGATGTGGATAAAATGATTGGAAAGACCTCTCACATTTTTGAAAACGCCTGCAGACCTTCAGTCACCAGCAATCTTATGGCATCTCATTCAAAGCACAGAAAAGCTACTGGACAGAGCACAGGAAAGTTACTGGCCTTGGAATCAGGGAAGATAATTGTATGACCCTTGGGATCTGGGCAGTGTGGGGTCTGTCACAACGATGCTGTGAACAGCAAACCTCTTCTGGGCTGTGTGGAAAGACTTGGAAGCCCGTGTACTTCACAGGGCTCAAACACATCACCTCCCCTTCCTTCCTCCCTCTATCGCTTCTCAACAGTTTCTCCTCAAGAGTAACAATGAAGCCAAACACCTTCCATTCACACTTCTAATTAAATTTCCATCTCTGCTTCAAGGCGCATGGGAATAAAAGGCTAACACGGAGCTTTCTACTTAGGCAATAACCAAAGAAGAAAAGCCAAGAAGCACCTACCAAAAGCAATACTGATGATGTCTCCTACCTCCACCCATGAAGCAGGGCCTCATTGTATCACTTGTTTAGGTTATTCCTATTTCTAGAGCTAAAACTCACCTTTCCACCCAGTTCTTGTAGCTGGGGATGTCCTTGGCGTAGAGAAGCTTGTTGGAGGGTGAGTCTTTGCCCAGACGGTGCTCTGAGGTTGAACAGGAGTCCATGAAAGTCTGAGCCACTACAGAGAGGCAGGCATCTGTGATGCTGTTCTTGTGGATGTCGAAGACAAACTGTGGGTTCTTGATCATGTTAACCCAGAACCGTAACGGCAGGCTGCAGGAGGGGCGGGAGGGGTGGAAAAAGGGAGTCGGTCAGTGCAAAGTTCATAGGCTCTGTTGCGTGAGGTTACAATGGTAAATGGCGGATTGGAATTGAAGATCGCGATGTGGAGATAAGGATTCTGGGACAAGCTTTGATATACAATAAATTCCTCTCCTACAGGAGTCTAGGGATGGCAGTGGAGTCATCTCGGGGATGGCTTTTATCCCTGTTATCCTTACAAGCCAGATTTTGTCAGCCTTAATGTCAATACCATCTTACTGAAGTTGCACATAATTAATGGGAGCATAATTGAAGTGATGAAAGTGTCTCCTATCTTCTCTACGCTAAGTTGCAATGTAAAGTTGCACCTGTTGGCTGCCTCATCAGACAAGGATAGGCATTGCATCCGCAAAATTACGGTGAACATTTGTCACGGAGGGACTTGGCTTTTAGCCTTCATAGCAGCCCCATGGGAAGAGAGGTATGTAGAGCTCCCAGGTCGAGATTAGGATTGCTAACAGGATTCAGCGTGTGATGTGGACACCGTGTATGCAGCTCAAGCCCAAGCCCACATATGATCCCAGCACATCGGGCATGAAGATGTCCTTACATGACAGGGAAAAACCTGTCGCCTCAAGGGAAAAAAGGAAGGGGGAAACAAGTATTGCAACCTTTGAAATGAAAATAGATCTGCCCTAACCACGGAAATGTTATTCCAACTGCAATTGAAAGCCCTTTTTCCCCCTCCTTTTTCTCAAAAGAGCAGTTCATTTGTGTGAGATGCCCTGAGGTATCTACCTCCAGCCTTTGCCTCAAGCCTTTTTCTCAAGGCAAATGCATTCATATGATCGTGGCCTAGCAGCTGAGATGTCTCACTGATCACAGAGTCAAACTCGTGTCTCTCTGTCAGGGAGACTGCTAAGTCTACCTTCAGTGTCTGCACCTTCCCAAGAGGAGGTTATTCTTCAGCTTAACAAATTCACCTGATATTCAGGCTAAACTCCCCAGTTCCTCAGTTCCTTCCATTTACTCATGACTCTCATGTGTTCACAGCACCATAAAAAATTCATCTCTAAGTCCGATGTATTTTGGGTAACAGCAGGAAGTCTAGCATGTCCTGGCAGAGGGATGACACCAAATTTTCCTAAACAACGGTGTGTTCTCCTGAACCAGCTAAATCACTGAAGAAATGTGAGGAAAGCCCCACACAGGTGATCCTGTCAGCCAAGTTCAGGAGAAGTGGGAGATGCTGGCAACGAGACCTGATGGAGCTGTGATGGGTAAACATTTTAGGCTGAGAAAGGAGGTTCATCTGTTGGGGGACGAGGTGGATGAGTGAACCGTGTAGAACTTCTTCTGCAGGTGTTTGGATGGTAAACACAGCCACAGTGAGGACAGGCAGAGTGCATGTATGTGTGCCTGAGTGTGTGTACGAGTGCGGGGAGGGGCTGGGGAGATGATGTCCCTAGCTGGGAATAATGAAGCCCGTGATGTGACTATGAGTTAATTTAATCTGATTGAACAGATTTCTTCATACTGCCCCTTTTCCCACATACACACACACACACTGCCTTCCCCCCTCCCCCTTAAATAAACCTCCTGCTCATTTAGTCTGAGTGGCTGCAATCAGCCTTAGATTAGTGCCGCAGATAATGTTAATAATATGCTAATGTTTCATTAGTTGAAAGCCTCTTTGGTGCATGGGGTTTCTTTTTTTATGTCACTGCGCTGTGACGATCTGCCATCAGCGTGGCTGGTAAAAGGAAAAAATGCATGAGCTGGGAGCCCCATGGCTCTCCTCTGCTGTTCCTTTTATAGTCCCTGTATTTGCACAGGAGAAGGGGAGGGAGCAATTCCCCAGGGGACTCTTTCCAACAGGGAGACTCAGCGGAGAGGAGCCGCAGAGATCTTTTCTCTCCACCCATCCTGGCTTTTCCCCGCTGTCCCACTACACGTACAAAAAGGGGCTCCTGCCAGGCAGCTGGAGCAGGGGGCTGATATCAGGCTTTGTCACTTGCTCCAAAAGAGACGCACATCCAGCTCCAGACCCTTCAAGTGTTTACTACCATGAGATGCTCTCCTGGTCTCCAGCTACCAGCCCAGGAGAGTACAGGTCTCCTGTGGGTGCTGCACATCCCCTGCAGATCTCTGTGATACCTGAAAATAGCTCAGACGGTACTAGATGCCTATGTGTGGGCAAAGAAATGGAGCTCTAGACCTCCTCTGACTGTAGTGGGAATTCAAACCCAGTCTAGATGAAGACAGTGGTGCTGAATCCTCTCCTATACCTCCCTAGATATTCCTATACGCCTAGGCACTGCAGCAGTTAAACACTTCACTATTCTTCCTCATGAGGCCTCTCAGAGATACTGCCATCCCCATGTAATCCAGGGCAAAGTGGGACCTGTTTAGCCAAAGCACTCCATCCTTGAAATCATCCTGTAGAATCTGGGATCTTCTGACTTCCCCAATTCCTTGGGAAGACTGATCCTGGTTCTCTGAACACCATGCCAGGCTCCCCAGCTTTCCCAGCAGCCAGATCCCAAACCACATGTTTCTCTACTCTCCTTCCAGTCCAGGACCCGTTGCTGGACTGTACTGGAGTGTCTCACTCACCAATTGCTCTTCCAGGTGTGCCGCACGTGGGGGTCATGGATGTTGTGCTTGTCAGCCTGCTCATCCAGGAAGTCAAACATGTATTTGATAGCCAGGGGAAGTGCACTGCCACGGTGAGCAGTGCTGAAGATGGTCTCAAAGAGGTCGTCTACAAATTTCTGGAGGGTGCCCTGTTGGGAGAATGAAGGAAAGAAGAACGTGAGATACCAAGGTGGGGAGAGGACGTTGAATTTCAGTAACCCACTGAAAACAGAGTATGTCTGTGGATCAGGCCCAGAAAGTTTGACTGAAAAGTGGGAGCCGTCTAATATCTGCTAAATGTGACATGAGTTGGAAATTCCACTAGAGATATCTTTAAGCAGGCATGTGCATCTTCACGATATCTGCCTCATCTAGTCAGTAGACAGACGTAGCAGTTCAGGATACTGCTTGTCCTCTCTGTTGGTAGCACTCCCTGCCAGGAAGGGTGGCTGAGCTGTGGTGGGATACCTTGCCCCATCTCAGGTATGTGGTGATGTGTTTCCACTGAGATTCCTCTCCTCTGCAGCCTATCCCCAACTGCTTTAGTGCACGCGTGAGACAAAAACTAGCCATTTGCTATGCTGGCTTCCATCCAGGGCCAATTCTTAAGCTGGGACTAGATGACTGTAGAGCAGAGCAGAAAGTGTCATTGAGACAAATGGGATAAGAGTAGTTGGAGAGAGATGGCTGTTTTATATGTGTGAGTAGTATAACAAATAACACAAACTTCACCTCAACCTCCAAGAGGCCTCCTCATTTTTTACTACCCAATGACATGGGACTGAGGCAAACCCTGGGAGCAACGCAGGGATGTGTCAGATACTGCTTTGCAGACCTCAGTAACGTCCACTGCAGAGACTACAGAAGTCTTCTTATGCTCCTCTGGGAGGAGAATCCCAGATCCTGTGCTTGGAGACCCACCCTGGACAAACCAGTTGACCTTTATCAAGAAGGCAAGGAGCTGGAATATCAGAGGGCAACCAGACTCAAGAGAGGGGGCAGTTGAGAAGCTGTGATAACCAAACGATCTGCAGGCTGGGTTTTGGGGGGAACCAGGCAAGGCACGTTTTCCCTGCTGGATGGGAAGCTATAGCCCACATGTGAACCTCTGCTCTGCCACTGGAGCTTCATAGGAATTTATATGTGAACAAACCATATGGCTGCTGAAATAACATCAAGCAATCAAATCTCCAGCAAACGTTTCCTGATATAGAAAATTTCCTCTTCTGAAAAATAAAACCCTCCCCTTTCTCTGCAGACCCAGGAAAGAATTTCTCCTTACTCGAAATGAAGCACCAGGTTCCACCAGAGTGGCTCAAGTTTACATAGTGCTAACAAATACTTAATTAGAAATCTGGTGTCTCTTGCTGATTCACCACTTGATTTATTCTTTGGGAAACAGAGGTACCTTTTGCTTGTGTGAACTCCTACTGGGTGAATAAAGCCCTGCAGCGTGTCTGACTCAGAAAGGACCCCCGAGGGGAAATCTTGTTGGTCTGACATGGCAGATCTGCCCTCAGGTTCAGTTTCTGAAGGGAATTAGTTCTCTACATGCTCACCCACACAAACACAAAGAAAACCTCTGAGGCTTTTAGGCAAGGGACTCTAGGTCTCAGAGGTCAGGGATTTACCAGAATAAAAATTGTCAGTTTAACTAAGTATTCCCTGGGATTGCATTACCAGCAATTGCTCTCTCCCTGCTCCCTCCCTCAAATGGTCATGATGAGAAAAGAAAATTGCTCAGCCCAAGAGGGGAAACAATAAACCCCCAGCCTTTCTACTCTTTCTGTTGCTGTGCAAGTTATGCAGCTGCTTTCCTGCCGTCAAAAAAAAAAAAAAAAAAAAAAAAAAAAAAAAAGCCCCAAGTGTTGAGTTTGTGATCCGGAACAGAAAGCAAAAGCGAATCAGTGGTGGGGTAGGGGCCGTATCCCCAGACAGCGTAAATCAGCACCAGTCCAACGCTTGATGGTTTACACCAGCTGGGGCCTGAGCCCTGGGGAGTATTATTTTCTTTTTACATTGTGTGATCCATAAAAGCAGCTTGATGCCAGGGAGCTGGGCATGTACCAGGGGCTAAAGAAAAAGCCACTTTATCTTCAAATCCCACTGCAACGTAGACAGTCTGAGTGAGGCTGCAGGGAGAGTCAGACATCAGAGGCAAAATGAGCTGAGGAACAAATGTGCAGGTAAAGCTGTATAGGAGGACTTAAAGCATGTGATGGAGGCCTGTCTGATGGGCAAACTCAGCCGGCGTTTGCATGAACACATGAAAATGTGCCTGTTAACACTCTGACAAGAAAGGGTAATAGTTAAAATTTCAGAAAAGGGAGGAAGATTGAGCTGTATGATGGCTGCTTGGTTTAACCCTGCTCAGAATGGGGTGAGATAACACCTGAGTCACAGCTATCTTGCAGTTTCCACTTCTGGGATGCACTGAGATAACTCTCATGTCAGAGAGGTTCAGGCACAGCGATGCTCTGCGCTGCAAGGGGAAAGCAGAACTGCACAGGGAGCTTGTGTCTGATTGTACTGCCGCCTTCCCCACCTGCCCTGCTCCCTGCCGGGGTGCAAAAGAAGATCATTGCAGCCTCTTCATTAATGTAGGCTTCTCCAAAGAGACAATCATCCACAGAGTGGAAGGGCAAACAGATGTAAACTCAGAAAACTTCTTTTGCCCACGCTCCTGCAGAGCCTTTAGAGGTGAGTTAGGTGGAGGGTAGTCTTGGTCAGAGATGAAAGAAGTTGAAAGGTCTGATATCTTTTGTCAACCCCAGAGCAAGCCAGCTGCAGCAAGCGCTGGCCATCCCCTTCTCAGGGAAGGGACAGCATGCTGGTGAGTGACAGTGAGTTCTTTCTGTGCAGAAAATGGAAATTAAGCCACTTTCTGTGGCTGTCCCAGAGCCAAAGCCCACTGCAGTAAGTTTTAGACCTGTCAGCTTGAGTGATCTCCACTCTGCAAGTGTCCTCATGGTGCTGCATTCCCAATTACATTAAACACTCACTAACAGCCCTACTACAGTTTTGCAGGGTCTGGCAGGCACCCATGTAGGACGCTGGTTTCCAGCATTTTGGGGAATATGGATTGAGAAGGTGGGATCTTACCAGCTTCCCAGTAAAGTCTTTGCCCTCTCTGCAGAGCCCTGCCGTGGGCCAGATATGATGTGCGAGATGTGTCTAGAGATTCAGTTCAGGATGTCTCTGCTCTGCTCCCCCCCAGTCTGTATTTTCTCTTTGGAAACCCTGAGCTTTCCATGTCTCAGTGGGTATGAGCATCTTACTCTTCTTGATTCCCTTGGAGTTGGCCACTTATTAGCTTCATCATGGTCAACTGAAATCCCTGACAAGTCATCAGCACAAGAGTCTTTATGGGTCCAGGGGAAAGGTGAAGAAGGACTTGTAGCACAAAACTCAGGGTTTTGTAGCATAGCAGCTCATTTCAGACTGTAAAGCATGACACATCCTTGGAACCTTATCTGAGCACATTTACTCCCTGGCTCTTCATCTGATCAATTCTGGTACAAACTACAAGCCAGTATAATCAATAACCCCAGCGCCTACCCCTGCATTGACTCTCCACCAGTCTCATGGCCCTGGGTTCATTACTCCTCATTGCTCTCCAATGTCCTTTTCCTGACTCTGCTTTCTAAGTTCAAGCTCCTTCCCTACATACTTTGAGCACTCCTCTTGCTCTATTTTCCTTCTGCTCTTCTTTCCTTACCCTGCTTCAGCATCCTTTGAGCAGCCTCTCATTTCTTGTAGGCAAGAAGCTCCACTTCAGCCTTAAAAAAAAAAAAATAAATTCTCACCCTCTTCCCTTCCCCCACCATGTACCTTGGTGGCAAGTAGTCTTGTCAAGTAGATCTCAGAAACCATCTTGCTGCCCCGGTCACCCTCTTTTTGGTCACCATGTTCATGGTTCTTCACCAAGTGCCACATCTTGACTCCGCTCTCAAGGTCAGGGGTGATCATGGGTGTGCGGGAACGGAGGCTGTCTGGGCTGCCTGTGTAACGGATCATGTTTTCTGCAAAGAGAGGTGCATGTGTCTCAGCCCTAGTAACACTTGGATTGGGGTTAACAGGTTTCACGGGGGAAATATGCTAATGACATGCCAGCTAATAGAAGTATTTAATCAGTTCGGTAGCAGGTACCTCTCCCATTCAGTATATGGAGTGGATGCTCATACAGATTCTGGTGTGGGGCTGAGACAATCACAGCTGGTGAGTCCACTCTAGAGAGACGTTAGTTTGGTCTCCAAAGAAGGAAGGATGTCGCAGTACTGAAATGTCCCTGCTCTCACAAGCTCTGTATTTCCATATTAGTATTAAATATCTTTCCATCAACCAATTCATAACATTAGGCAACACAGGTATATCTTCTGGTGGAATGACGATGTGAGACAGAGAAGCCCACAAAGCAGCTATATGGACCAGGAGGCCTTATCAATGTAGTATTATCTTATGTCTGAGTGATTTTCTCAGCAAAGACAAGGGATGTCAGCCAAGCCAGACACAATGTCAGTGTCTATACCAGGGGTTCTCAACCTTTCCTTCACCACAGGCCCCTTTTAAATACCTTTTGTGGCCACGGACCACCAAGACTTAACCCAAGATTTAAAGCTCTAGAATGCACCAAATATTTAATTCCATTTCCTCGTGAAGGGTCTTCAAATTGGGAGAGAAGGGGAAATAAGTTAATCTGTTAAGGCACAAACTCCTATTGTATCTTTATTGCAAAGTTTCCATATGAATTTAAAACAACAGCATCAACACTCTTCTTGCTCAGTTGGCCCGTTTTATGGTATTTTAACATGCTAATTCTGAAATTGATGCCAAATTTTACATTAAAATTTGATGAAAAGCTTTTACAATTCTTCTCACCTCCCCCCTTGTTTGTCTGTGTTCAGTCACCCTATATTTTTGTTTACGGGTCCAGGGCCACCACTTGGAGGAACAGACTTCAGCCCTGTTGCAGCCCTAAAGAGGGCCATTGGGTAAGGAAAATGACTTTAAGAGAAAAACCACTTAGTTAAAGTGGGTCCCAGCAACCATACTAGCACTAAATATACCACCGTGTCAGGACAGGCATGGGGGGGGGTCTTGAGTATGAGAGGACCATTGAGGGGAGGGGGCTGTGGGAAAAGAAGGTGCCTTTGGTGATGACACTGAGGCCCCCCAGGGGTCTGTAGACCACAGGTTGAGAATCACTGGCCCACACTGTTAAATTAAATGAGGCTCAAACACTTTCAGTTAGCCGTGCTCTTTGCCTCTTATCATGTTCCCTGGCAAAAAGCTTTGGCCTGGGACAACTAGCAGTGTCACAGTGTCAGATACTGCCTAGGAGTGGTTCAGGGGATAGTACCAGCTACTCGTGGTAACCACTATGGTTAAGTACAACTTGTTTTACCCATATGGATGTTAGCCATACCATGCCACACTGCTTGACATTATGGCCAAAGAACAGGCTGTGGCCTTCGCACATAGTAATATTGATGTAGCAAACATGATGTAGCAAACCTCTTGTCTAGTTCTTCATTCCCAGACTCAGGAGAAGCTGCCTTCCCTCCTCCTTTGGCATCAAAGCAATCTAGTAATTCCTGCCCAGCCATCCTCTTCACGTCCTTCTCCAAAATCTTGTTTTGACAGAAAGTAAACCAGAACGCCAGGTGGGCTCACCCATATTTCCTCTCCTAGGGCACCTTTAGTCTCCAAATTTTACCTCCTTTTGCCTCTGAGTGATGGCATGAGGCATACCCCCCTCCCTGACCTTCCAGCAATGGTGCAGATAGTATTTTCCAACCATAATTAACAGAAGTGTGTTGCACCTTTCTGTAGTAAGATCTGAATCAGCCTCATTAATGCATTACCAATCTTTACATATTAATTATCAGACCAAATACACTTTTTCTCTCTGGATGCTGTTTTCTTAATTGCAATTAACAATCACTTCTGACCCACCACATCTTCTCCTCCCCCTGCATTCTTCCCCACTCCCTTCTGAAAAAAATCAAATGGCAAAAGAATTAAAGAAATCCAACAGAAATTACCCCCCCTCTAGTCTTCCTTTTCAAAGGTCACTGTGTCTTTCAGTAATTGCAACAACATGGCAAAGCGGATGAATTTTAATAAGGTCTGGTGGATTGCTTATGTCCTTGGAGAAAGAGGAAGGGGGATCCTCTGGACACTGAGTAACTGTACTTTCCCTCGAGCTAAAGGGAGTAAGAAGGATTGGAGATGCTTTCTTAAATTAAAAAAATAATAATAAACTGATATGACAGCTGCATGCAGGTTGGAGGGTGGTTTTGCAGCACTCTGGTTGCACATTAGAGATGTTTTGCTTTGCTGGCCAGTATCACCATAATGAGACACATCCTGGGCTGCAGTTCTAGCACAGGGGAGAAAGGTGCGTGATGGTGTGAGTGAGACTCAGGAGGTCTCTGTTTGTCTCTCCAGAAGAATTTCCACCTGGTATCTATTTCACAGCTATCTCATTCTCAGGTGTCTCATGGGTAAAGTGGGAACAACAATCCACTGCCTTGAGATACAGTGATGTAAAAGCTCAGTTAGCTATTTTCATTATTATTCCAGGTGCAGATTCCCTCGGGATAATAAGATAGCTGGGTGGGACACACATCATCCACACTGAGATGTAACTGGAGACAGGCTATGCCCTATGTAGATTGAGACTCCTCATCTGTGCAACAGATTTGTCTTCACAACAGACCATACTCCAAGGATTTTGCCCACTAGAACGACTGAGCCCATGCAGCATGCAGCGCTTCTCCCCGTGTAAACTCTAAGACTAAGATTCAGTGATCTAAAATGTAGGCAGGTAATTATATAGGCTCCTCCTTTCATTAATGAGGGAGGAGAAGTACTTCCCAAGAGCAATCCAACCACTTGGATCAACAGCTTGGACCAGATGCTAAAGTTTTAGATGGCTAAATCCTCTCCTCTTGCCAGCACTCAAGCAATCTTACCAACTAGTCATTTGCCTATCCTTCTCTCTGCTGGTGCTCAGTGTCTTGTAACCACTGTGACATCTGAGATCTCTTCTCCAGTGCTCTCTCAATCCCCATCAGCACACACATCCTTACCGTACTTGCTGGCTGACGTCCGGGAGACTGTGGAGTTGTTGACTGCATTGTAGGCAGTGACTTGCTTGGAGACTAAAGCTACCACAGATCCATCTGGCACCTGTAGAGAAAAAGGTACTTTGTCAATAATCTTCTGAAAACTGGCTGAGGAGTATGCCAATGACAGCAGAAATTCAAACAGCGGAGCCATAAACCGGTCTCACTGTCGTCAGGACAGTAGCTTTGGCCCAAAGCTACAGATGTCTTCTTCAGTGGGTCTATTAACAAAAAATGGACAAAATCTCCTCTCACACCGCTGGAAGCCTGCACATGGGCAATAGGACAACTAATGACACAGCAGACTCTGCTCCATTCAGGTCCTGATTCAAAGCCCAGTGAAGACAACGTGAGCCTTTGCATTAACCTCAGTGAAGTTGACAGTAGGTTCTTCACAAGGACGCTTGTATGTGGATGAGGAGAATAAAATCATCTGAGCTATTTCAGACATCAAAGATGGGATGTCGCACAAGGATTCCTGTGTCAGAAGGTCTTAGACAGGGGAAAGCAGCAGATTTGGAGTAGCTGTGCTCCAGGATGTCACGGGATGCTGTTTCAACAGACAACAGAGCTTTCTGAAATGAGCCAGACTTTCCATTTCTACAGCTAGGTGATTCATGTGGGTCCTGTATCAGAAATGTTAACAAGCTAGTGGCTCTGAGGAGCCATATCAGGAATATCTGTGATAAATAAGACATCATAAAAAGGAGACGGGTGAAAAAAAAAAATGCTTAACAACGTCTAACTCTTGTCTGTGTAATAATAATAATTAGCACTTGCATAGAGTTTTTCATCTTCAAAGTACTGCAGAGGCTAATTAAATAGCCCCTCAGCAATCATGGAAGGCAATTATTGGCTCTTTGTAGTTTTAGCCCCATGTTACAGATGGGGAAACTGAGGCAACAGGAATACCAGTGTCTGTCCCAGCATGCTCTGTGTCTGCCCTCAGGATAGCCAGGGAAAATGATGTAGAGTTTGACACCCCGGCAGCTGAGACCTGTTCTGCCCCAGCTCATGCATATAGCCAGGAACTCTGCCTGAAGCAAACAACTGGAAAAAGCACAGAGAAAAAAAAAAAAAAAAAAAAAAAAAAAAAAA